AACTCGATTGTAGAAAACCACACATCCATTCTTTTTTGTTTTTAATAGCACATTTTTACCGTCGCTTAAAATGTTTCAATATATTTAGATTGAAAATTTCGCTTTGGTTTGGATTAAATCGTAGTTTAAAACTATAAAATTTCTAAAAAAGTGCTATATAACAAAAGATATAAAACGTTTTCTTTCCAGTTTTAAACCGTATACAAACAAATAAGAAAAGTTATGTCCAATAAAATCTAGATAATATTATTTACTTTTCCACAATTGCAGTCGAAGAAAAGAGAAAAAATCATTATATTAAAACTTTTTTTGGTTACTTCACGTGTAGAATTCAATTATTTTTTAAGGAAACTCGATTGTAGTAAACCTGAAATCCATTTTTTTTTGTTTCTAGTAGCCCATTTTTACGGTCGCTAAACATTTTTCAAAATATGTAAAAAGAAATTTTCGCTACTTTAAGGATTAGCTTGAAGTTAAAAACTATAAAAATTCTAAAAAAGTGCTATATAACAAAAGCTATAAAACGTTTTCTTTTAAGTTTTAAAGCATATACTAATATATAAAAAGTGTTTAGACCAATAAAATCTAGCAAATTACATTTATACTATAACATTTGCAGTCCAAAAAAAGGGAAAAAAATCAGTTTATAACAATTTTTTTTTGTTACTTTACGTGAAGAATTCAATTCTTTTGCAACGAAACTCTACTGTAGTAAACCAGACATCTATTCTACTTTGTCTCTAGTAGCACATTTTTACTGTCGCTAAAAATTATTCAATATATTTAAAAATAAATTTTCGCTGCTTTCTAGATAAAAATAATTCTGGAAAACTATCAGATATCTAAAGAAGTGCTATATAACAAATGGTATAAAACGTTTTCTTTCAAGTTTTAAAGCATATACAAACAAATAAAAAGAGTTTGTTTCGATAAAATCTCGCAGATATCATTTATATTACATTTACTAATAATTGTCGCCGTTTTTATTAAAAATTAATTATCTTTTTTAGAAGAATGGTAATTTTAAGGTTATTTAAAATACTGTCCATCACTTGCAATGACTTTTTCCCATCTCTCAGGCAACATTCAGATCCACCGTCGGAAGAACTTCTTGTCTTTTGAGGCTATCAACGAATTAACTTAATTTTTGGTATCTTTATATGATTTGAACGCTGCACCGAAAGAGCATGTGTCATGGACCGAAATAGGTGATAATCGGACGGTGCAATGTCTGGTGAATACGGCGGGTGGGGTAACACTTCCCAATCAAGTGTTTTCAAATACTTTTTCAGGGGAGCCGCTACATGTTGACCAGCATTGTCATGCAGGAGAATAATTTTTTTGTGTCTAGAATAGTATTTAGGGCGTTTTTCCTTCATAGTTTAGCTCAATCTTATAATTGTGTTCGATAGAGGGCTCCGGTTATTGTTTCGCTCGGATTAAGCAACTCATAATACACTTCACCCAGCTGATCCCACCAAATAAACAGCATGAGTTTTTTTCCGTGAATATTCGGTTCTGCTGTTGATGTTGGCGCATGGCTTGGTAATCCCCATGATTTTCTTCTTTCTGGATTATCATAATGTATCCCTTTTTCGTCACCAGGGATGATACGATGTAAAAAACCCTTTTTTTTTTATGTCTAGCAAGCAGTATTTTACTTAAGCATAATCGGCGTTCAATATCTCTCGGCTTTAATTCGTACGGATCCCAATTTCCTTGTTTATTAATCATTCCAAATGATTTTAAACGATGTGAGACTGCTTGCGGAGTGACTTCTAAGGTTACAGCAAGTTCTTTTGGTGTTTGAGATGAATCTTCCTCCAATATTTCCACCAATTCTGCATCCTCGTAAATTTTTGGCCTTTCACTGCGATCTTTAACTTCTACGTGGAAATCACCGTTTTTAAACTTTTGAAACTACTCACGAAACGTTCTTTCACTCAAAGCAGTCTTACCATATGCTTCTACGAGCAATCTATGCGCCTCAGCAGCAGATTTCTTTATATTAAAGAAGTAAACTAATATTTTCCGCAAATGACGTGTATTTGCCTCAAATTTAAAAATTTTCAACTAAAAAAAATATATATTACCAATATGAAATAAATAATATTAATAGGTTATGTTGTTCTTCAACGTCCAAACTAATTTTTAAGCAGGATATCATCTGCGAAAGTTAACGGAAGCTCCGCGCTGCGCTATCTACATAAAAACAGCGAAAACTTATTTGTACACCAAATATTTTACTAACTGCAGTCTAGAAGAAGAGAAAAATCCATTTTATTACAACTTTTTTTGGTTACCTTACGTAAAGAATTCAATTCCTTTTCAACAAAACTCGGTTGTTGTAAACCTGACATCCATTCTGATTTGTTTCTAGTAGCAAATTTTTACCGTCGTTAAAAATTTAATATTATATTTAAAAAGAAACTTTCACAACTTTTTGGTTTAAATCGTAGTTAAAAACTATAAAATTTCTAAAAAAGTGCTGTATAACAAAAGCTATAAAACGTTTTCTTTCAAGTTTTAAAACGTATACTAACAAATAAAAAGTGTTCTGTCAAATCAAATCCAGCAAATATCATTTACATTACAACAACTGCACTCCATGAAAAGAGCAAAAATCATCTTTTTTTAAATATTTGGTAACTTTACGTGAAGAACTCAATTCTTTTTCGACAAAATTTGATCTTAGTCAACATAACTTCTATACTGTTTAGTTTTTAATAGCATATTTGTATCTCCGCTAAAAATTTTTTAATATATTTATATAAAATTTTCGCTACTATATGAACTAGATCGTAGTTAAAAAGTTTAAAATTTCTATAAAAGTTCTATTTTTCAGAAGCTATGATACGTTTTCTTTAAAGCTTTAAAGCGTATGCTAACAAATAAAAGGTGTTCAGATCGGAAAAATTTGGCAAACATCATT